CTTTGTCTCCTTACTCAATCTAAAATAATCAATATAAACTAATAAGATGAATATTAAATTTGAAACAAAGGGAGTAATAATTATCAGGATAAATTCACAAGTGGGGTGTGAATGATAGGTTTAATAAGCTTTTGCCACCACCTAAGCAAGACAATTGGTTGAAAAATTAAAGGTAACTTACACTCACATCCAATATAGTAAGTATAATTCATAAAGAAAAAACCCAAAGGTGCGAAAATAAGTTAAGGAAACACTATTTTTGAGACCATTTGGTCTGACTTTATGCATTGGATGCAACAACATTCTGTCATATCATACTCGTGTAACAACTTCCTTGAAGATTCATTGTAGGACAAAATATATAAGTAGAGGTCAAGGCAAGGCAAGTAGTAAACTTTGTGTCCCAAATTAGAAGGGACCGTGTGGAAAATAAGCAAGGATGGGGTGAGATGAGATGTGCCACTTGAACGCGCTTTGAGCAAACTCGGATCATTTTTTCTTCTGGAATTTGCTTGGACAAGACCTAGGAAAAACTTTGGGATGGTTAAACTTAATCCCACGGTTGCTGAAACAACCTTCTGTCTGATATACCAGCAATTGGTCTTTTCAACCACTTGTGATGGGCACAACAGAAGCTTCTGCTAACTCAACTCCACTCTCAGTATCTCACAATCAAACTGTTAAAACCCAAGTCCGAGTTAGGCCCCGAATGTCAAAAATCAAAGCTCTCAGGCGCGTTTTAAACCATCGATGTCACTTGATAATTCCTGCCAAGTTTATCAAGATTCAAGACTCTTTCAAGGAAGGTGCTCTTTTTCATATATAAGCTATATATAGACAGAGAGAGGGAGCCTACTTTCACTTCTCCACCACCATATCTTTCCCATTCTTCGAAGGGTTTCAGCAGGCTATCAGCTTACTGACTGCTGTTCAATTTTAAAAGAAATTTTCTCAGTGGAGAACAAATATTATGGCCGAAAATGATGTAGAGTCTGCCATGGAGCAGTCCAAAGAGCTCAAGCGGAAGAAACGCATGAAATGCTTGGCTTATGTTGCTGCTTTCGTCAAACTGCAATCATTCTAGTCTTTGCACTCACGGTGATGAGTATCAAGAACCCAAAATTCCGGATTCGCTCTGTTGTGGTTGACGATCTCACCTTCAACATCTCCTCCCCGTCCTTCAACATGAAATTTATTGCTCAAGTAACCGTGAAGAGCACAAATTTTGGTCACTACAAATTTCAAAACAGCACCGTTACTTTTGCTTACAAGGGGTCACAAGTCGGGGAGGCCCTAGTTACCAAGGCCAGGACCAGAGCCAGATCAACAAAAAGGATGAATGTGACTATGGACTTGAATTCCAACGGCGTAGCAAATGAGTCGGACTTGGGCATTGATCTTAACTCAGGGTTCTTGACACTGAATAGCCAGTCCATATTGAACGGTAAGGTGCATCTGATGAAAGTGATCAAGAAGAAGAAATCTGTGGAGATGAACTGCACTATGACAGTTAATTTGGCACAAAAATTGGTGCAGGACATAAAATGTGATTAGAGCTTTAGCTACTGTACTCTTATACTATGGTGACTTTCCTTTTGAGTTGAATGTGTATTTGTTCTTTATCTTTTGTATGTTTATATGCACTTGTTTAAATAATAGGTAGGTTTTTTTATCCTTTTGGTTGTTTATCTCATCAGCTTACATGATCAATAGCAACAGACTGATTCTTTTTTGATCACTTGGAAATTTAAACCAATCTTTTTTTCCAACAAAAAAAAAGAAAATTAATTAACCATATCCTCCATCCTAGAACTTTGCTGTAAATATTTAATAGTTATAATCATTAATTAGTACATTTTTTATTAATCAATCTTAAAAGTGGTGTTATAGAGAACTAAGCTGTGATAATCTACAAGCCAAACAAGTAAAAAGTAAAAAATGAGAGTGACACTTAGTTTTCAATAAAGTAAAAAATGTGAGCTTCTCTTCTTAATTAAGGGAAGAGTAACTTATATTGAAGCATAAGAAGATTATTAAAATGATGTTGAAGGTTTTATATCTTAAAATTGAGATGTGAAACGATCGTGTTACTTTGAGATTAAATCTTAAAGTAACACGAAGCCTTTTTCACTTTCATTCATATATATATATATCCTCAAATGAATTCATACTAATACTTTCATACTTTTTCTCTATATAATTATTACAATTTAACTATAAAGTTTTTGCACCCGAATATTTAATTCATTGATTGGTACAAGATTTTCTTGCTTGAAAAGCACGATTTGAATCCCTCGAGTAATTAAACAACTAAAAACTAAAATATCAATTACATATAGTAAAGTCTCAAGATAGCTAATAATGTATTGACACTAAAATAAACTGCTCAAACTATTCTCTTAGCTTTGATAATTCTAAAGATCTCATCTCCAGTCATCTGCAAAATTGTAAAAAGATGAGCCAACAACAGCTCAGGAAATATAGCAAGACACACTTTATCAGATCAAACATCATTTTCAAAATATCATATATATTATTCAAAAGCATTTAACTAGACTTTCAAAAAAAGAAAGAGCATTCAAAATAGTTTGATTTATTATTTTCAAAGTAAATAATTTCATAAGTTCATAAATCATTGATAATCAAATATCATTTTTAAAATATCGTTCAAACAGATTATAGATTTAATTTTTCAAACTCGTAGTTTCATCATCTTAGCTACAACCGTTATTATATCCCGTGAATAAAGATTGTATCAACAAATCGTATTTTCATGATTGTCACTAACTATTATATCCTATTAATGAAGTCGTATGCTAACTATTATATCCCAATAGAAAGGCCATAGAACTAGTTCTAGTATTAGTTTTCTCACTTCCCATGGATCATTTCGTAGCTCTTAAAACATTCTTTATAGGAGATCAAAGATTTCATTTCATTTATAAATTGACAATTGTTATATGAATACACCAAAACATTCATAAATCAATATTCATCATATAAATAAACCAAATCACTCATAAATAAAATTTTTGTCATATGAATAAACTACAACATTCATAAATCATGGTTTATCATATAAATAAACCGAAAATAGAAAATAATCATATGCCTGGCTCTATTTTCACATACTGAAAATAATGAAATAAAAGATTTGATTCTTTCAAGGAATCTACATTTACAACAATTTTAAATAAAGCAATGAGTGTGAAGATATACTTCCTTTCCTTTGTTCTAAAAATTCACTTCTTCCCAAAATAATCAAAAGACTAATAACAATCATTTAAACATATTACAAACAATTTGACTCCCTAAAATCTATTTATCATTTAAATTATACAAAACAATCCAAATTCTCTTAAATTAGAAATCTAGATAACTTGCACACCATTCACTAAACTAACTATATTTGAAGCTATGAAACTCAAAATCAAGATTTGTTTAATGTGTTAAAAACTTGACTTAATAGGCTTTCTATCCATTTAAATCTCAGCACTCAGTTCACTATAGGAAAAGTACAAAAAATTTTCGAAATTGCTTGCTGTCAAATAGTTTGCCCTGTATTTACAAAAAAAAAAAATCATATGTTCATAAAGAAATTTCAAAATCCACCTCCATCTGATTCATTAAAAAACAAACTCATGTACCTTTCCAACTATATATCACTCAAATAGCAAAGGTTCCATAAATCAATTCTGTTCTTCAAGTTACTCTTAAAAATCCCCAAATCCCACACAAAAGTATACTTGTGAAATACTTTCTTAATGGTTTTCTTCACTAATGTGATTGCCTATGTTTAGATGATATATTTATATTAACTCTAATTATATTTTAATAAACTTGAACATAAAAAAAATGGTTTAGGTCCAGTTATTTTAAAGGCTTATTTTTTTCATGTGTGATATTTCAATACTTACCCAAATATTATTTGAACGGCGATATTACAATAATTTTTCCCAAAATAATTTATATCCATGCATGAAAAACAGTTTAATTGAGCTTCCCAATGGCGTTCGTTTCTTGCCCATTCCATGTCTTCTTCTGGGATCCTGATTGTGAACTTCGTTGTTTCTCGTTCTTCGCCATAGGCAGTTTGTTTTTGTCTTGCTCTGCTCATCCACCCTTCCTCCGTAATTAGTTCCCTGATTTCCTTGGTTATGCTTTGGCTCGCTGCCGACAAGGGTCTCCCAACACATTCTACTGTCCCTCCGCCCCTCCATCGATCGTATCCCTTCTAACATACACTATCTGCTTCATTTGGGATCGTTTGTTCCATCCAAATTCAGCTTTTGACTGGGTTGATGCTACCATCGATCCTTTGGTTATTTCCCCGGCTGACTGCACTCTGCAATTTCGCTCCTTCCAAGCACAATTCGACACCCTGTTTTTGTTAGTCCTAGGGATGAACACATCCACGACCTTCCCATATTCATCAAAAGCTTCGGTCAATGTTCTCTATGACATCCTAGGGCTCAAGTTGTCCACAAAAACAAATCTTAGTGTTGATCTCCATCTGTTCAAATCTGCCGCATCCCTGCGCCTGCAATGCTAATCTCGGCCTCCGGTCCAGTTTCGTTTGTTACCCCCATGCAGTTGAGAATATCTCGCCAGAGAGTTCATCTTTCGAGAGAGGGTTTAGAGAAAGTAACAGCCAACAATATGTCTATAAATCAACGTGGACAAATAATTTTCTTTAATAAGACAATAAGTTGTGTACTGTGCATGCGAAGTTGAAACGTGTTTCTTTCCTTTTATTTAAAGGAAAAGTGCTAAATGGAATGACTTGATTCCAAGTGGGTGTGGAAAACTAGACAAAAGGCCTATATATCGTGCATCTAGAACTGAAGTGAGAAGCAAAGCACAAGACAGGAATGATTTGATCCAAACTATGGCTACTTCCAGTCCACAGCTTGAAATGTACTCATTGTGATTCTTGAAGAACCACAGAAAGACTCATCTTGAAGCAAAGAATGCAACAAATTGCAACCCAACAATTAAGTCATCCAACCATACAAACTACAAATTGAAGAATGTTCAAAACAGTAAGCAAGTTCTTTATATCTTACAATGTAGCTTCACTAACAAATCCAAATTTCAAAGCCATTTGATCAGAAAATTAAACACAACATAAGTAGACAAACTCCAATGAAGTTTGATTAATGCATCTCATTTGCACGTCAGGTTCTGGATTTGTTTCAACGAGGTGTTAACGTCCATAGTGCAATTCATTTCTCCTGATTTCTTCTTCTTGAATATCTTGAATAGATGTATCTTTCCTTCCAGCTTGGCATGGCTGCTCAAATTTATGATCCCAGAATCAATATCAGAACTAAGCTGGTCTGAATTTCTTGATATCTTATTGTTGGAACTAACCAATATCGTCACATTAAACTTCTTGGTTGATCGAGCCCTGGCACGACCCTCAACGATAGTAGCCTTACCAACAGGAGTACCATTGTAAGAAATCGTGAGAGTGCTGTTCTTGAATTTGAAGTGACCGAAATTCCTGTTCTTAACGGAAACTTGAGCATTAAGTTTCGTGCTAAAAGAAGGTGAGGAAGATGAGGAACTGGCTCTGAGATTTTCTACCGTGACCCCTCCCAAACGAACTTTAGGATTTCCGGTACGCATTACTAGCAGCACGAAGAGCAAAACGATTATGGTATGTGCTATGACACCGGCTACTACAAATGCCCAGCACTTGATGTTTCTCTTCCTCCGTGAAGTTTGATCTCCAGATTTCATGTTGGAATTTTGACTAGAGATGTAGGCAGGCAATATAAGTTCTTCTGCTTAAAGTTTCAAGGTTTTCTTTTCTGAGCTTGGGTTGAGGATTGGATAGAGAAAGAAAACTATCGCTTACCATAGAGGGAAGGTATAGTATCATGCATGTTGGAATACTTATAGAGCCCTATATATGGTTTTCATGTGGGCCTACACAAAGCCATAGCTGCTATATATTATTTCAGTTTAAGTTGAACATACACTTTGTAGATAGTAGAATAGAGACATCATATTTTGTTCCCCAAGTGAGAATATTTGACATCAAGTATCAACATACCAAAACCTTGTTCCCACATTTGGCATTGCCATATTGATTATGAAGTCAAATAAAGTGTTCAATATTTCCAGGATGTAACTTGCTAGAGTGTGTTGGAAGCATAATTGAGTTAATTAAGCATCTAGAATGAATAAGAGAGAAGGCGAAAGTTGTTTGAAAACTCTTAGATTTGTGGAATATTTCACAAAGAAGGCAGGAGTAAGTCCAGTCTTGCAAGATTTGTAATATTCGCATTGGTGGGGGCACAAAAGCCTTGAAGCTCACTGCTACATGCCTGATCTAGCATGCTTTAGAGATCCATCGTTATCAGAATATAAGAATAGAAAAAGCTTGATTTCGTGAGTTTTTTTTTTAAAAAAATTAGGGAATAGAAAATTCAACTCCATTTATTGGATATGCATTGCTGGAAAATAATGCAATGCTTGGAAAGCAGACCTCCAATTCAAGCGATTCTAATTGGTGGAGTCTTGCTCAAGTGCAGCCCGAAGGTGCCTTCTCAGTTTTTGGTTGGACCAAGGTCAACCCATTCCACCTCTTTTGCATGTTCTTTCTTTCTTTTATTTTTGGGTTCTTGGGAACGACGGGAAGCGAAGGAAAAGATTCTTTCAGCCACCCCTGGGCCATTACAACCCATTGAGGCAAATGAACTTTAAAAACTAAAAGGATAGACTTAACAAATGATATGCACCTGTTGGGTTTTAAGGCTTCAATTAACTTCAATTCAGGGCCTGAATTAGAGTTTAACTCATGATCAACTTTATGACTTGGCCATCTCAATGGAATGCAAACGCAGGCCCACAATGTTTTAATGCATACTAAAATCATAGTTTCTTTCTGAGCCTCCCTAGAAGTCCAAAAGAGCAGAAATATCCAGGAACAAGGGAGTACTACACTTCATCTCAAAATCCTGTGGTGGTAATTCCATCTGTCCCTCAACAAAAGATGGGAAAATGATCCCTTGTATAAAGACATCATCTGCATTGTTCACCACAGAAGGTCTTTGACATATTCAATCCTCTACTTTGGTTTTTTCTCTGCCCTGATCATGACTCTTGACGTTGCTTCAAATTTCAGTACTTGAAAAAGAACCCCGAGGAATTCAGGAGAACAGGTGACTTTAGCACAAAAATGGGGCTTTTCAGCTCCATCAATTACCTTTGACTTTCATTATATCTAACGTAAATGTATGAATCAGGTCTAGATTAGAAAGTCCTCTAGCACATGGATAGTCCCAATGTGTCACCGTCAGCCATTTCATGCACCACTTTCCTTTCACGCAAATGAATGTTAAGAGATAAGCTTCGTCATCACCACTTGATCTTAGCCAAAAGTTATAACTAATAAAGAAAAGCTATAGTTATATATGCAGCGATGTCTCTCTCAAAATACATACCCCGAACATCAATTGTTTGAGCTGAAATTAGCTATAATAGGCATAAAATGTTATATACTAAATATAATATATTCTCGGGTCGAGCCAAGTTGAATGTTAAAAATCTCGACTAGAGCTTGACAAGTAAGTCGATCCATGAACAAATCAAAACGAAAGTTTGTACTTTATATAGTGGTCAAACAAACTAGTGGGCGACCCTTGCCAACTTGGTTTTATTTTATATATATATATATATATATATATATATGTTAAAAGGGTTGAGGCCACTCTCAAGAAGAAGAATGTTCTAGCTAGTCTGCTCATATCCGTTCCTGGTGCAAGACAGAAGACTTAGACCTTTTCTCCTTTCTTCTCCTTTCTTCATGCTAACTTGACTTGACGCAGCCATTTTAGATCATCACCCGTCCGAAGTCTCTGAGACCAAGAGAATCATTTTCTTTTGGTAGCCAAACAAATCTCTTTTTCTTCAAACCCTTTCCAAATTTTCAAGCACGTGTTTGGATGACTACTTGTAAATTTAGATCTCTATCTCTTTTTTCCCTTTGATTACCACATTAATCTTATAATTTTTAGCAGAACGTACACGTAAAAGAATAAAAAATGTCTATGCTGAGATGTGATCACTGTGTTTGATTAGGAAAACAAATAGTAGTGAACTATTCAGGTGATGACTGAAGAGAAAATATATAATACCAAGAAATTAAACATGATCACACCATGCTTCCTATTTCCATTTTCTTTTTTTCTTTTTTTCATTTTTTTTAATTTGTCTGTCTTAATCAGAGGTAAAGATTTGGATCTACAATGCAAATCAAGGGGAATAAATAATTAAATTTTTCAAATTGAAAGGCTTTCGTGTAGTTTTTTTTTTTTTTTTTAAATTATGGTTGAACAAACATGTGCCATTAGTTTTATATGCAAGGTATTTAATGGAATCAAACTTCAGTACTGTTTTTAAGGTATGGCTTCAAATACATGCATGTGTGCATGTATCTTAAATGAAGGTAGGCCATCGCTGCCAGCAAAATTTACAATGTGAAGGTTTACCAAAGCACCGCATTATAAATTCTATCCAAATTATAATGACGTATTAATGCATGGAGGGATGGATTTCAAAGATTACCAAAATTTTTAATGAAAAATTTGAATTTTTTTTAAATCACAAATGAAAAAAAGTTAAATATTGACGAAAAGATTATAAGCTAATGGCATAATTTGCTAATATAGAATGCAAAAAACCTAAACTTTAGTTATTATCTTCCTATACTATCATCTCTTATCATTAAGCACATGGGTGGACCCACATACATGGGCGTGGTGCTCAATTAAAAAAAATATTTATTATATTATTTATTTAAAATTTTTTATATTTAATAATATTAATGAATCCATTAATTTTTTTTTGTAATTTTGTAGAGAGTACAATCAAAATGTATATTTTATTAAAAAATTTATATATTAATAATATTTAAATATTCCTCCAAAAAATAATATTTAGATATTATAAAATAAGTAGATTTATCAAAAAGTAATTTACATATTCATATTTAAATACTACATGGAAAAATAATTTTTTTTTATAATTTAAAATTTTATTAAAAAAATCAAAGTATATAAAATAATAAAAAAAGTCAAATCCCAATAAATCATTTTCTACTTTCAACAAAGAAAGGTTGATTAGTATGGCTCAATTGTATCCTTTCTATTTTTCAACTGTGGATTTAGTGGTATTTGAAAATCAACTAGAAAAGTATATTGCAAACTTGTGTTTGAATGAGAAATTTGTTGAAATCAATGGAGATGGTTGAGACAAATAGAAATATTGTGTATCTTTGGTTTATTTGTTAGTAAAACTTGTATTGATCTTATCAATTACAAAGTGTCTGTTGAAAGAGCTTTTTCAGTAATAAAATTTGTAAAGCACAAGCTAAGTAATTGAACGAGTGATGAGTGGATGAATAATTATGTGGTGACATATATTGAAAAAATGTATTTGATAATATTTCTACCGATACTATTATGCAACGTTTTCAAAATATAAAAAATCATCGTGGATAATTATAATTTTTTTAAATATTTTTATTTTAAAATATTAAATAAATATACCAAATTTAGATTTTTTTAATTTAATATTAAAATTTTTAATTTATAAATTTTATCATATTTATTTTATTATTATTATTTTAATTATAACATTACTTAAAAAATTTCTGAGTTCGTCCTTTATTAAGTACATATTCATTTTGTTACTTTTTTAAGAAAAAGTGAGAGATGTTGGTATCTTATTCGTCTTTGAATGTTTGGTTTCACCAAACCCTCTCAATTTTAGATAATTATGTATATTTTAACTTCAATAGAACTTGAATAAATTTTTTATATGAATTTTTTTTAAAAAAAAATTAGAGTAGGTAATATTCGGTCATCGATTTGTCATTTCAAGATTGGTAAAGCATATATGTTCCATGAACTCAACGTGGTCGTATAGTTTGACTGAAGATGTGGAATCTTTGGTCAATAAAACAATGTCTCCGAGGAAGATTCATTGTAACCATTTTTTTGACTGCCAGTCCTGGGTCCAATGTCTTGGTATGGTTGATTCTTACACATAAAAAAAGACAGAGCAGCGCAATCTATGGGTGTAGTAGGCCCATCGAAAGAGCATAGTTCAGTGTGTGTCTGGTCTTCATCTTTACTAGGTTACCTTTTCACCAGTTCCAGTTCCACATTGTACATTAGTCTTTCCAAAAATAAAGTACTAAATATATTATCTCATTTACTTCTTATTAAGATTTTTTTTTCAAATTAATTTTTTTTATAATTGAGAAAGAAAAGATTCAATCATGTTATTTAAATAAAGACATAATGTACTAACCAATGAGCCAAATAATAAAAAAACGATAACTTTTTTTCAACAAGAGAGATAATTATTTTTATTTTGCATATACATTACGGCATTACAATCTACACTTAGCTCTCAAAGATAATTATTTTTATTTTGTATATATGGAACGTAAGTTTTTATTAATATCAAAATTGCTATGTCATTTGAAGTTTCTAGCTTTATGTAGTTGAAGACTCCTGGCATTACAATGTCGTTTTGGATGAAAATGAACAGTAAACTTACAAAAAAAGTATCCGCACAAACAGCCTTTGGTGACAGCATTGATCATTCTAACATCGACTTGGAGACTAAACCTATTCCTACACCTTTAAACAAAACTTAAGTGCGTCGAAAAAGACAGAATGAAGAGAAGTAATAAGGGCATCAAGAGCAATATAGATTAAAATGAGTCGAAGAAAAAGTCGATTGAAAAAATTTAATGTGGATGGCGTAACTAGAGATTGCTTGGAAGTAGGAGGCATTGGAAGAGCCCTTCGTGATGAGGAACTCTAAACTATTTCTTTTAAAGTCAATTGGGGGAATGAATTTCAGCACTACTTGTTACTATAATTACAACAAGTTATTATACAATATTATTAAATAATAATATCATATAATAACTCTAAATAAATAGTTTGTATAATTATCTTAATACTACTGAATTGTGTGCAATACAAGTGTCTTGAAATTTAATTACTATAAGTGTCTTGAAATTGATGAGCATCATCATCAATCTTGCTTCTTATTGATAGAAGGACTACATTAAGTTCTTTTCACTCTAAGAAATGAGAAAAGGTTGTGAAAATGGTGGTATTGTAATCGCTAATAATGATTAAGAGACTTAGTTTGGCAGCTGTCACTCTTGTTTGAAAGAGATAAAAGTTTAATGTTCAAACGATCCTTTACCTTTTAAAATGTACTGATATGTGGAATATTATTGTATTAGACTTTCAATCTTAATACTCTTAAAATGATAACAACCGTTAAATTAAGCCTGAAAATGTATATCATTTGGTATTTTTCATCTATTACAATCTTACTAAACTTCAACGACAGCCTATAGTTTAAATAATTACAAAATCATTTACATAAGCAAGGGATCAAGCGCAAACTCTACAACTGATTTGAGCTCATCCCAATTCGCATGTGTGAAGAAATCAGTTTCTGGAAAATTTGAAAAGCTGGAAGATGATGCCATAGATGAAGGCTGAGCTATGGTGCTTAATTGATCTACATGCCATTGGCTTCTTCCATTGATATGATTGACAACTGGTTTCTCATCATAATGTTGAACAACTTCAGAACCGAAAGAGATGTAAGTTTCATGACTGTTGGATTCCACACTGCATGTTTGAGAGCTTGGTGTGCTGGTTGAAGGACGTTTAGCTGCCACTTCTCTCCAATCTGGTGTGTACTTTCTCTGTGATGCGTTCCGCTTGAAAATTCGGCATATAGTCCATACTTCCTGTAAATCCAAAAAGTGTTAATTGTAAATAACTTAACAAAATGCTTTCATGAAAGAATACTTAGTATAAAGGAGAAAAACTTTTAAATTTCGTGACTATACTTTAATTTTTTTAAATTTTCCTACTATGCCATCAATCTCATCGATTTTTGAATGAAAAATAACAAAATTAGAATATTTCATAGAATATTGCCTTACTGTAATAATAAATTTTTGCTGTATCTTGTTACTTTTTGTCAAAGAATTCAATTAATTAAATTGAAAATAAAAGAAAAATTCAATAAAATTCAAAGTATAGTGATAAATTTGACCTTTTATCTTATGCTACTTGTATTATACAATATTTTGCTTACAGCTTCTTGTGCAATGGATTTGGGATTGGAGAGGCTGGTGTTCGTGTTACTGTCGTTGCTGGGCATGCGAAACTCATGCATCATCCAATCCGTTTTGGTTCCTTTTCCTGCGGTTCCACGGTAGTATACTAACGTTTTCTTCAGCCCAATGCAGGCGTGGCCTTGTCCTCCTTGAGAATAAACGGGCTTGTCAATGCCGGTTGCTTTCCAAAATCCAGACCCCGTCACTCTGTTTGGTCTAATGCTGTTTCTGTACTTCCTCCCTCGTTTGCAGAAGAAATATGATTCACTCTCTCCCACAATGCTAGGCTCTGCTTCATTAATCATGAAATAATTTAGAGAGATATGCCCTGTGACCTTATTTTCATACAATGAAAGAAAGTTGGCACATGGCACTAAGAAACAAGCAGCTTATTTCACATATTTTGTGGACAAAAATAATTGGGAACCTGGGTACGATAAATGTTGGATAAAGCTGAGTTTCAATTATCCTTTCCCCATGGTTTTCAGGAAGTGTGTTTTCCCCCTATATTGAGAAACCTAAATTTTGATCATGGCCTTTAATTTGTTACAAGAAAAAGGCTAGTAACTTTTAATTTTCAACTATATAATTCTTTTACAATACTTTTGTTGTCTATTACATCGAAATACCTCAAATATTTTCTAAGTTAAGTGAGAGTGAGGGTCTCCAATCTGTAACAAAAACTCTGAAAAAAATTTCAAAAAAGAAAAAAAGAAGTTTGAAAAAGAAACCCAAAAAAAAAAAATAAATCAGCTTCAGTAGAATTCGCAAATCAGGCTAAGCTACTTTTGTTTATTTATGGGTTTTATTTTGATTCTCTTCAATCTTTCAAAGCAAACCTGAACCCTTTTCCCTTACTGAAAGGCTAGGACATAATTATGAAGAACATGAGAAATAATCAAAGACGCTAGAACATACTTGGGAGATCCCAAGGATCATATTTGTAGATATCAATCGTTTTGATGAGCTCCATTCTGATGGGTTTTCTGTCAACTTTTCGTCGAAGATAAAACCCTACGAGCTCTTCATCCGTCGGATGAAATCGAAAACCTGGAAGTGGAACATCTTCGTCCTTGTTATCAGCAGTAGCCTGGACCAAGTTCATCTTTATTTATCCCTGGCAAGTGGAGTGCAAGAAGCAAAGATCTTAATCCTTTAATTTCTGTGTGCTGTGCGTATGAATCATCAATCATACAGAGTTACAGAATTGAACGTTACGGAAACTTCTTATATAATTAATGCGAATTTGGCGTCATCCAAAAGCTGGTGGTTCAGGTCAAGTCAAATTATTGACTCTTAGGCAATAAAGAGCCCAATCAGCTTAGAAAAAGTCTTCTTTCTACTTTCAATCTTTATCACTTCCTTGTGCCGATAATTATTATTAGTACTTTGTATAAACATAACAACATTATAAGATATTCAACGATTAAATCTTAAAATTCTAACTTCAAAGTATAGAGTTCAAATTATTCTGAAATGGAAAAAAAAAAGATTTATGAGATTAACAAGGATTTCTAATTATATAATCCAAAAACCAAAATCATATATGCGAACAAACTACCAATAAAAGAGGATAATAAGCTCACCAAGCACAGCATAACACTTCAGCTCATATATGTTTCTGAAGAAAATTAATAGTCTACATATTTCTGGGTATACATGTAACTTGGTTATATGCCGGCTTGATCATTAGTGAAAACCACAGATAAATGTTACTAATTAAGTTGGTGAAAGTAGTAATTTTGGGTAATCAAATCTCACATAAGATCTGTTTTAGAACATTGAATGTGGAGTGAGGTGTCTCCTTATTGAAAAGAAAGCAAAGAAGAAAATCAAGTCATATGCATGGGACCCAAAAAAAGTGCCAAGTTTCTGTTCAACAATGGCTTGAGGGGCATTTTAAAGGTCAAATTGTCGTTCTTCCCGCATTGTAAGGGTCCATTTTGACATATGGAAAAGAAAGCAGAGCAAGTCTTGGTGGCAAACTTGAATTATATAGGCTTGATTTTGAAAACAAAGAAAGTTACAGATTCGAGGAAATAAATTATTGACTTTATCCTCCATCTAAAAATCAAAGACGGTTGCATTAAATGACCATATGGAAATGCACTTCCCACAACATTGATAATATCTAGTATTTTCTTCCGTTCTTTTAAAGGAGTTTGAATCCTAAATTCTAGTCTTGATCCTATCCCTTTAAATTTCTTTCTTTATGTTTTAAGGAGGGTCGAAAACCCATTAAAAATTTGTTAAAAACATGAAAATGAAGATAAAATTCATCCAAACGAATTAAATATTAGACGATCGAATCTGTGATTGACAAGAATGTAAATCCCTCCGATTAATTTATGTATAATATAAATGCCAGTGCTTACGAAGTCAAAGCAAAAAGTTGTGTCTAGAATATGAGTGCACGATGTTTGACCTTGATTAGAGGCAAACCACACAAACATAAACCATGTTCCCATGTCTACGGGAAAGAAATGTCTTGAGTGCAAATGAGGTCAGATGCGGCGCCTATTAAAATATTTGTAGCTAGACTTGACTTTACCATCTTCTGTATTTTCATTTGTTGGGTGGTCATTGGGGTTAAATTTCTATAATTACTACTTTAGAGATCTTTTTTTCTTTTTTAACTTAAAAGGTTATTTAGTAGGTAAAGGTTATGTTAATTGGTTCGAAATTCAAAAAGAAAAGACAAAACTAATGTGGATATACATGTAAACATACGAAAATTAAAATCAAGCTCAGGCGAAATTGAAGTTGGATTTCGTGACTGCATTAATTTGTAAATATACTACTCCAAAGGATAAATTAGGTAGATTTGACAATTCATATATCTATGTCTTAATCGTGTTATGTAAATATATGGTATTAACTATTGTTTGGATAAACACGAATACAAAATAATTGATTAATCGTATCAGGATCTTAAACACATATATAGATATGTTTAATAATCATATAACACGATATCACATAATTAACACGTTTATTAAACATATTAAGTTAAATTTTATACGATATGATATGATTAAAATTTATACGATTTATAATATATTGAAATGATTAACATGAATAATACGATTAATATATGATGGACACAATATATATATGATTAACATAATTATAATATATTATAAAAATATTATAAATTAAAAATTCAAGTAATGGATTGAATCACTCCAAGAGAAAGATGATTCGATGATTCCAAGTTCCAATTCTTACCATATCCAGTAAAAACAATTACTAGGAAACACAAAATAACACTAATCGTAAGGGAAATGAATTGAAGAAGCAGAGCTGATCAACTATATTTAAACACAAAGATTAAAGATCTAAATCAATTCCATTTTCAAACCAGAAGCCAAATGAGTTCACTTTCTGGTGGGGATTAAATTTTTTAATTTTATTAAAATAATTCCAGCAAACCTTTTTCAAGACTAAAAAAGTTTGATTGCATTATATTCTATTTTGTAAAACAAGATTTCCTGCATCCACATGTTACATAAATTTCTATATATTATACAAATCTAAACGAAGTGCTTATATTCTATTTATATATAAAATATAGTATATTCTATTTATATATAATCGACAAATCAGAAGATTTCAGACAAGACAACATTTAACAAATCAACAATCGGTAGGTTGAAGCCTAATGCAGAACAGTCCCGTGAAGAGGAATCTATCTGAAGCAATTGGCGGATGGAAAGTGGTGAGAAGAAGAAAAAGAAGACTCAATGAAGAGCAAACCCATGAAGAAGAATTAAATCGAAGCAATCGGTGAACTGCAAAAAGTGAGAAGAAGAAGAATCTATGTGAAGCAATCGGTGGTGTTATTGTTATGGTGGGTGGGCAGTGGCCAGTGGCCAGTGACTAGTGGGTGGGCTGTGGCCGGCGTTACTTGGAGTCTTAGTTCCGTTCGCTAAAGTCTTGGTTGGAGGAGACTGCAGCTAAGGTTGTTAACTTGTAATGCTTGCATCCACGTGGACATGAAGGCATATGAAATCCACTAGGATTTTGTGTAAAAATAGGAGTATTTTGTTTAAACTCTAGGCCACTACGTGTTAAGCTGCATTAAGCTGTTTTTGTTGAATGTTTTACACTTGTTAATGAATCAAGAACAAGTGTTAGTGTTCAATTAATGTTGTATCACTTGATAAATATGTGCTGTTCTTATCAATGTGAATGTAAGACCTTTTCATTAATAACAAAACAGCTTCTCTGTTCTGCACTGTTTTATCATCCTTTAACAGAGCATTATTCTTCCTTCTTGTTAACAAAGGTGAGGGGAGGGTTGCAACAATAAATCAGGCATTAGGGAATAGGGTAAGGCAATTGGAATAACAAAGTATTTATATGACATATAAATGTGTCTTCGACGGATCTTATATAGGTTATTCATTTCTAATCTTGTCAACATGATTTGTTCATGTCTTAATTGTGTCGACAAGATTAACACATGAAATACAATTACACTAAACTCAAACCCGTTGAATATAATATCGTGTTTGTGTCATGTCATCATGTCGTTTTGTATACAAAATTGCCAAATCTAGTTTTAGGGCATGTTTTGGATGTATTCATCCCTAGAAAAAAAAATCAAGAGATTTACTATTTGGGTTCATCTAATTTTAATGTTGAAACAGTTCCTACTACTAGTGTGGCTTCAATTTCTAACTTGAACGAATTTAACAAACTTGCAACGGAGATAGGAAACCACTCTGCTCAAGAGATTTTAAACACGTCCTCAAATCAAGAAAATATTTCTCCCCATGTAATCACTAAGGAAATTGGTGATGCTTCTAAGAGTGTGACTGGGTTGTGATCTGAGGTTAATCACTTTGCACTTTCAGAAGCTTCTAAATTTAGTGTTGATAATGTGATCCATGATTGTCATTCAAAGCTTGTCATGACCTTATGAGAGAGTATTCAACCAAAATTATCAAAACTCCCTTCGATCAAGTTTCTTCTCTCACTACAGAGACTCAAAAGGTTTTTGCTGTAATGAAGGGGTCAAGACTATGGATTCATCCTCATTGACGAACATGGTTTAAGAATACTTTGGACAAGTTCACAAATTTATTGACCTCAAATCATCCTTTAGTAGTGCATCTACAAAAGATCAAAACGAGAAGCTTAAAAAACGTGTTATTCATCTTAAAGATGAGGAATCTCTTAAGAGCAAATTTGTTGAGGAGGCTAATTGGTTTGCAAGCTGAGTTAACGAAACTTGAAGATGAAATAGATGCTTTGTATAGCCAGAAGGATGAATTGAATCTTCTCTCAAAATAAATAAAGAAAAGGTCCAAATGAGGAAAGCTAATATTTCTAAGATTAATGAAGAGATAGCTTCCACCAAGTCTTCTTTTGTTTTGAGTGAAAACGAAGTTAATTCCTTAAAATTGTTGTAGAATATGTTGGAATTTTCTCGAGAAGAACTAAAGAATTTCAAGTGGAAGCCTTGATTTGATAACTTTCTTATTCATGTAGTTCTCTTTTTTTTCACTTTTTTACTAGGATTTGACTTTTAAAATTTTCTTTCACATTGTAATGCATTCCAAATTACCTATAAAAATCAACATTTTTTCTTATTGCATTTTTTTAGTTGTGAAGAAATTTAAAAGATAATCCTATGAAACCTTCAAGATACTTTATGCTCCAAAAATTTTCTTGGACTTCAATTGATCCTTAAACAATTCAACTTAGGATTGCAATTTGTTTTACTTGCAATTTAATTGATTGAATCACATAACTCAAAGAGAAGTACAAACTTAATTTTTTCTCCGACCTTCTATCCTAGTAGATTAATCATCATAAAAAATTGAGCCATACTTAATACAAGAGACTTTCTTTGTATCTTTTTGGTGTGACTGAACTTGGCTATGGGACCAAGTTGCCTACGTACCTCTTAATATGAAGAAGGATCAAGTCATAACGTAATTTCATATTTTTTGGTTTTTTTTTTTGCCTTAATGTTTGCATAAGTTGTCCCGTTAAGGATTTTCAACTTAGTAGGCTTTTTTTCTTTGTGCAGTTTAAGCTCTTGCCAAAGGGCATCTGACCTTCAAGCATAGTAACGCTTCAAGAATCAACAATTGATTGGGCCAACTCTTACTCCATCTTGATCAACAATCTTATATACACCATTTGTGTAAACTTTTTGAACAACATATGGTC